GAAAAATAAATAAAGCATGTAGTTACTTTAGATATTGCTGGATCCATAGTCCCTCTATAAGAAGCAGCCAGGCCAAGCATCAATCCCACAGTCGTGCTCTCATGTTCCTGAAATTATAGGTGTGAGAAGAAAGCAAAATGATTTCTACGATTGACGATAAATCCCTCAATCGATATGTTCTCACATAAGAGCACAAATACAATATCATCTAAAGATAGAAAGGGTAAAAGCGTAAGCCAAAAAAACTACATATGAAAATAGTAACAAATGAGTATTTATAAACTACAAAACCTGAGCGTAGTACTGGTAAATATCTGTAAGGTTTAAAACACGCAGATATCCGTGCAACCCTAATGCAAGAAGAAGTCCAGCATGAATAGCATTTGGTTCCCCAGGTTTGTTGTATATAATCCAGGTTCTTGACATTTTACCCTGCAAGCAAAAAAGTTCACGTATCTCAATACAGTCAAAAATATACAATTAGAGTACATGACAGGATGCTAGATCAAGCACATAAGAATTGTCCTAAAGAACGAGATACATATATTAAAAATATAAGAAATTCACTACTAAGGGATTTTTCAGGGAACAAACAATTCACAATTTGCACGTGTATCTAAGCATCAGATTAGAGCAATTACTTTATGCCCTTAAGAGAAGATGATAAACCTGAAGTGGGGCCAGCCTCAGTCCAGCAGCCACAGCATTGTGAAACTCAGGCCAAGACTTAAGTTCTTGTATATTCCTCACGTTTGGGTCCAGATTCACCTTTCCATGTAAAGTATATGCAGATCAACACAATGATGAAACACGGGGATAAACGGGGGAAAAGCTAAATGAACAAGAACATATATATGCCAATCAATATTTGCGCAACCTACAATGAATATTTTAGAAACAATTTATCTAAAGAAATGTACTGATCCCTCCAAGAAAAGATATGTATGTATACTGAAGAACATCAATGGACATGCGCCAGACTTCAATAGGACTTCTTTGGTCCCTCCCTCAGGGAACTAGGAAATATCCATATTCCATTGTTTAATACAATAAAAAGTAATGAACAGACAACTTTCACTAAAAAGTGTTTGAAGACCAGCCAATAGACGCAACACCAAAGCAGTAAAAACTAAGAAGTAAATCCACGTTGCATGTGTGAACAAATGTAGAGATACCAGCATATCAACCAAAAAAAAAATCTACGAACATACAGTTGCATTTTGTTGGGCAGGCAACCGACCTGCAAGAACAAGCTTAGGGACAGCAAAGGCCTGCACACAAATTGAACAAGTACATTACAGATGTCAAGGCAATTATTTTAATACAAAAGCTTTCCTGAACATGCACATACACTAAGCGTACCTCTGTCAAAAGTGTATAAATTGTTCCAAGTGTGAATGCCCCACGACCAAGAGGAAGGGAAGTGGTCCTTTGTGCGATGTGCCATAACTGGGCCTTTACAGGGAAAAATACATGTATTGATACACACATAATATATACACATCACTACTACATAAAAGAGTAAGTGCCAAACACTGTAGCGTTTTGGTCGTCCAAAACGCACAGCTTTGGCATTTCTCCTTTTTTTTGTTTTTGTCTTTTTATGTTCTTTTTCTTTTCTTTTCTTCCCCAAAATTTTATATTCTTCATACTTACCCTTCTTTTTAACTTTTTTCTTTCATTTACCCCAATTATTTTTTTTTCCAAAGGTTATCCTACTTAGATGTTTCTTTCCAGCAGTGCTCTAATATATCGTATACCAAATGTTATTCTCACAAATTTCTTCCAACGCACAACTTTGGCATTTTCTTTTCTTTCTTGTTTTTTTTTTTTTTTTGCTTTTGGTTTTTTTTTTTTTAGCTTTTTATGTTCTTTGTTTTTTTCCTTTTCTTCCCCAAAATTCTATATTCTTCGTACTTACCATTCTTTTTAACTTCTTTCTTTCATTTACCCCAATTAATTTTTTTTCCAAAGGTTATCCTACTTAGATGTTTCCTCCCGTAGTGCTCTAATATATTGTGTATTAAAAGTTATTCTCACAAATTTCTTTCTAATTGTCTATTTGTACCACTAAAACAAAATTTCAAAAATATGCACCTACCCTTTTTTTTTTTTGGCCGCCGTCTGGACCACTACTATCCTACACATATAAAAGAGCTATCATGGCTCTACTATTCCATTTTTAGTCATCTAAAACGAGTCGTTTTGGCTCTCTTTTTTCCTTTGAAAATGGTTTTGGTTCTTTGCTTCTTTCACCTTTTTTTATTTCTCTTTTTGTTTCATTTTTTTTCACTTTTCAAACACTTGAAATAAAAAAAATAAAAAAAAATAAAAACGATTTGTTAGTAGATAACCTAGATTATGGACCATCATATGTTATCTTTTTTTCACTTTTTATCATAATCTTAATGCTAAATCCTATCTTATCCAAATAATAAATGCTAAATATATAAATAGTAGTTGAAAACTATACTGTTCATTTTCTGTAGTCATTTACACACCATTTTGATGCTTTTTTTTCCCTCTCTTTTCGGTGCTTTATTTTTTTTTTAACTTTTTATTTCCTTATTTTGTTTTCCATACGTGTTGAATCCTAACCCTAATCCTAAAAAAAAAAATAAAAAGTAGATATTTGGTTGTTGTTCATCATATGGTAGTTCCAAACAGTGCGTTTTAGGTGCTTTATTTTTCTTTCATTTTTAAGTTTTAACTCCTTTCTTTTTTTAATTATTTTATAATTTATGTTCATGTTACGGTGGTTTTCAGAACGATAAGTTTTAAAGTGTTTTACTATTTTTCCTTTTATTTTTAAGTTTTAATTCCTTTATTTATTTACTTTTTACTTTGTTATCTTATAATTAAGAGTGTTTCATGTATTTTTATAATTAAACATAACATTTTCACTTAAAATACTATTAATGTATACTTCTTTAAAAAAATAAAAGATTGTGTGGGGGATTCAAACTCTATATTTTTGTCGTGGAGTTAGGTGTGCAATCTTCGTTAGGACAGGCATACTACCACTTAATATATACTCTTTTTTAATCTCTATGTAAAAATTTCCATCTATGTTTTTTCTTATTTATTGTTGTTGGTATTTTACGTTATAAAAACTTCAATTATAACTAAGTACGTGCATGCACGTACCAAAACTAGTATATATATGAAGCATCAAAAATGTGGAACTTTGCATTAAGGACATTTACATGCAAAAAGAACAGTAGAACAAGAGAGACAAGTCATACCAAAAAATTGACGAGATCTGTTGTGTTGTTCGACCATTTAATGTATACAATTTCAAAGGACTTTGCAATAAATTAAGTTAAAAAATTCAAAAATGCCAATGTTGTGATTAATATTATAAAATGATAAAGTCAACACGTTAGCCAATAAGGAACTATATGCCAAAATTTGACATATAGTATACTTGATGCTAGATTTTCTACCAAGTCTACCAGATGCCAATTTTGCATTAATATAGAATTGTAATGGAGAATGATTTTCTTGCCTAGATTCCAAATTTTGGACATTGCCTTATGGCAAAAGAATATTTTGGAAATTTCTTGAACACTCACAAGATGCTAATTGCTAAGGAAAGAAACTTTATATTAGCAAACCAAACGAGAATTCTAAGGAAAGAACACATACAATGAGCCCGACAAAACTAAAATCATTCTTCTCCTTTGTATAAAGATATGCTGATAACAGCATAGCCATTGGGTAAGCAGTAAGACAATGCAAGTTAATCCAGTCACAAACAAAAAAGATTCCCTGACAGAGACTTTCACGAAATAAAAGTTTATTGGCATCCAAAACTACATGCTAGTTTGGATTTCAGGCAGACAGGCGAAGAGAGATGTATGAAAAGCCTGAAATGCGGCTTAAATAGGGCATACCTGTTGAACATCCTGGTCAGAGGCACTAGGATTAATAGATGTTTGAATCGCCACAGGTCTTGCTGAGCACAAAAGGCGTCTAACCTGATTAAATAAAAGTAGCTATGAGCTATCACAGACTTGGATACGAATCCAATTTCTGACCATATTGCACTGGGAGAAACAGGTAAGAGACACCTGACTAATAATAGAACTGAACAATCATCATGTGATGTTGGTTGAAGACCCAATAACTATTTAACCACCATCAATCAACCACAGAGATCTTCCATATAGGTAAAATCAATTTTCAGAACATTTTATAAGCTCCACAAGTTGGTCACTGAGCCCTCAGAAGCCACATGTACAAAATTGTTATTAATGAACATACCTTAACTGGGTGTGTACAACCTCATTGAGTTTTGTATTATGGGTATAAATTTATACGTAAAAAATTATAATATAAACATACAGACATCTGCTCAGTGACAAACTTGCAATGTAAAAGGAAGAAGAATAGTTCAAACAAATTTAGTTTTGATCAAATAAGTGCCGTGTACTGAATACAAAGTTCCAAAAAAAATTACCTCATTCAATCGCAAATCACGACCATAGCGCAATTGTGTGCTAGAGTTGAAGATATGTTCCATGCCATCTGTCATAGAACCATCCACAGAATCTGTATCCTCAAACTTTGCACCCTCTAATCCGATAGTATCAGAAACTGTGGAAGGGATTGTCACCGGATGCAAATGTAGCATGTATGGAGTGGAAATAGAGATTAAATTCACATTAGTTTGGGTTTCAAATTCTTTAGACTTGCATGAACGTGCCAAACATGACAAAGCCAAGTCCTCTCGACCAAGCAAAACATAAGCAGCTGCAGGCCAGTCAGTGGGAGGAGATTCCCGGCACTTGTCCAATGCCTATCAAGTGCAGAAACAATCAACAATATCAGAATAAGGCAAACTAAAATCCACAACGAAACCAAGAGTGCTAAAAAGCATGGCAATGCATAAGCACTACAGCAATAGTTTTTATAGAAAGGTAACATTTTTTTTTTAAATGATAAAAAAAAAATCAATTTAAGACATACATACATAAATACATGCATCATACATGCAT